GGCCAATGCTTCTAGGTTGGAGGCCAATGCTTCTAGGCTGGAGGCCACCAACACCACTCCCGCTCCTGGCTTCAACTGGAAGGCCACCCGACCGGCTGCGCCAGCGGTGCGTTGCACACTCAATGCTTCGGCAGCGCATCCCTCCAAGGCCTGGTGGATCCCGGTACTGCAAACATTTTGTGTTACGTGGTTTCAGGTTAGAGATAATGATAGTATATGATAGCTATAAGTTGGGTCTATCCTATTACCTGTAACAGTGGATGATGATGATGGTTAGTAGAGGCCTTGGTCAAAAAATGATGATAATTGTTTACTGACTGTTACAGGTAATGGGACAGACCCTAGCTACAAGTATGCCGGCTCATTCCCTGTTAACAAATCATTTGCTGGAACTTGTCTTGGCTTCAACATGCGTCACCGATTTTCGAGAGCACAGCTAGACGATCGATCCTCTCCACTTCACCCAAACCAGTGCACCACACAAGGAGCATCCAGCAGGAAAAGCAAAGAACATCGAAGATCCACAAAAATGAACAAGCACAAAGCCCTTTCAGCTCCTGAACCATACTTATCTTGACTCTGGAATCGCGTGTGGCGTGTGTGGCGAGTGCTCCCCGCGCCGTGTTCTCGGACCAAAGCTGTGGGGGGCTCCTCCGTGCAACGACAGCCTGGACGTGAAGCAACAAACACTGAAAGACATTTGGCTGCGCCATCAGATGCCGTCAGCTTCTTTTGGGCACCTGGGTTTATCATCCATGGAGTGTTTTCTTGGCAGAAGCGCTGCGTAGCTGTTCAGGATCAAGCTATTTGGGATCGAATCCAGCGAAGGCTGGAATCCACCCAACAAACCATTCCATTGAAGGGAAACAAACTCCTTGTCGTTTCCGTCGGACCGTCTCCCAGCGGAGAAAACAACGCTATAAGAACAAAAAACTGCATCATTAAGGGACGACACACAAACTTCTGTCTTTGATGTGGTTGTATAGACTTACAATTCACGGTGCTTCCCTTAATACCAGCAGGATCATTTCAGTAAACCCATCCCAACTCTGTCTACATGTGCGGCCAAAGAAGGTGTCCCACATGAGATCTTCATAATCCACTAGATTGGAGGCCATCGCTCTTAGGTTGGAGGCCATGGCTCTTAGGTTGGAGGCCATTGCTAGTACTAGTAGGTTGGAGGATGTTGGAGGCCATAACTATTAGGTTGGAGGGCAGAGCGGCCTTTAAAAAATGCAAAAAAGTGGCTTCACTGGACCAAGTGGCAGGGAATCGAGACTTCTCACATGTGATCTCCAACCACACTGGGAGCCCAACATGTTTGATCCCACGCGCCTTGGCTCCCTCGGTCTTCCAATGCCTGGGGCAACGGAGTTGAAGCCTCGAGTAGAATTTATGTGACCTGGAGCTTTAGCTTGTGCTTTGATAAGAAATCCTGGTCAACATTAGCAAAGGCGATTCTTTTGGTTCCGCTTGTGCGCGTCTCTTTCACGGTAAACCGTTCGTGGGAAAGGACAAACTCGTCACTTCTTGGGACACAGCACATCTCCGGCTGCACTGAACGCCCACACAGCAGGTGTTTCAGGGCCTCGTCGGCCTCGTCTCCACATCTCACCAATACCCCAGATACAAAGGTGGCTTTGGCCAGACGGAGCGTCCATCGCATGAGCCAGGCCGAGTTAGAGGTCCTCGTCTCCACGGGTCTCTGCACTTGGCAATTGTTTCTCAAATTGTTCGCCGGATTTACTGGGTTTCAGAAAACACAAGCGCTGATGTCCTCCCGATGTCATAACTTCAGAGCTACTCATCCCTGGCATCTGTTTGCTTACGGGGCCTGGGATGCTTCGAGGCATGGAAGTGCATCCGAATCTTTGGGCTACGTCACATGTTGGACGTGTTTTCTCTCT